CAATAAGATGGGGAAATAAAAACTTAACAATACCACACTGCAGCTGAATTTCATCAAAAAGGGAGCTGGGCACTCGTCCATGGACTCTTGGAAGTTTGCACGTGTGGCCTCCCTCCCAGGGCAGGAAGAGGGTGCGGGGCCACCCCTTCCTGGGGAATCTCTGTAAAGCTCAGCCAGGCTCATGTGCACTTCCAGTCCTGCCTCTGAGCAACCCACTCTGAGAAAAATTAGGAAATAACACCGTATTTTGAAGTGATTACGAAGCTGTCACAGTTACACAGGAAAACGTTTCCTAGTCCGGGTTCCCTGTGGCCGACTCCTTGCACAAACTCGGATGCAGCTCTAAATTTCTAGTGATAAGTAACTGGACAGGAACTGTGGCTGTGCTATTTCAGATGGGAGGGTTTTGCAAAATCTATTTATGTAATAATAGTATGCCTGTCTTAGTGCTCAGATTGTCTTTCTTCAAAGGAACCACTGAGAGCCAGGTAAATTGAGAGGCCACCCAGGCAGCTTCTTGGAGTAACAATCTATAAAAGGAGACAGATGTATCACCAAAATAAATCAGAGCTACCTCCCAGGTTAGCCTGGATAAATCATAATTGGTCTCACTACCCTCGAAACAGATGACATTCTAGAGTGGGAAAGCACACACCAAAACCACACACACACACACCCCTATCTCTGTTGAGTATGTTGTCAACGTTTATATGCTAAATAGTAATTGGCTGCCTTCAGCCAAAATCCTGAAACCGAACAACGTATGACATATTTACTGAAGTGAACGAGTTGTTTATTACCCCAAATTTAAAACCCTTTAATATACTTCCCAAGATGTTATCTGGTTCAGGAAAATCACCAAAGGAGCTGGACGAGCAAACAAGAACTTCAGAAAAATGGAAAGTAAACTCAGACAAATGTATCATCAGCCAAAGATGTGAATTAAGTAAATGCCTCTAACTCTGTACAATCCTCATTACTATAAACTAGTTTCTTCCCACTCCCACTCACTCAAGGCTATGTAATTATTTGAAGAATATGTCCTATATATAAAATAGATAAACCACACGGTTCTCCTGTCCAGCACAGGGACCTATATTCACTATCTTGTAATAACCTATAGTGAAAAAGAATATGAGTATGTATGACTGAATCTCTACGCAGTACACCAGAAACAAACACGACCTTGTAAAATGACTATACTTGAATAAAAAATAAAAAATCTTAAAAAAGAATACGGATTACTGTGTAATACTTGGCGCTTACTTGGAATGCTCACACGAAAACCTTGAGCCAATGTCAGAACCACCCATAACGTTTTCACCACCCAAAAAAAAAAGCCTCTGCCACTTTGGAAAACAGTTTGGAAGTTTCTTTATGTTTGTTTTTTTGAGGAAAGAGGGAAGTGATTAGGTTTATTTATTCATTTTTTAATGGAGGGACTGAGGATTGAACCCAGGATCTCGCGCATGGTAAGCATGAGCTCTACTACTTGAGCTATACCCTCCCCCAGTTTGGCAGTTTCTTGAAAATTTACACACGTATCAACCACGCAATCCAGCCATTTCACGCTTAAATATTTCCCAAAAGAAATAAATACATGTCCAAAGATTTACACACAAATGTTCATAGCAGTGTTATTTGTAATAAGCAAAAACGGAAACAACCCAAATGTCTGTCAACAGTGAATGAATACAGGAATTGTGTTGAATTCCTTCCTCCTGGGCATATGTCTGGAGAAAGTTATAATTCAAGAAGACACATGCACCCCAAAGTTCACAGCAGCACTATTTACAACAGCCAAGACATGGAAGCAACCTAAATGTCCATTGA